TGGTCTACCCAGACCAACAAGTGAGGTTTGGAGTTTGGCTAGACAGTCCTCCCAGAAGGGTTGCTGAGGCCCTGAATGAAATCGTCCCGGAGAGGAGGCGGCAGGAACAGCAGTGGGAAGAGGAGAGACAGAGGACGGGGCCTTGGGCCCATGAGAGAGTGGGCAGCCCCCACACTGGCCTCTTGAGGTGCTGGTCTGAGTGGAGCTGTGCTTGTGGGGAGGGCCAGGGGAGGTAGCTTCTCCAAGATGTGACCCGTCCGCATGTTCTTGATTGGACCTGGCTCCCTCTGCCCACCCCTCCCTGTGTGCCCCTGCATGCTCACTGCACCCCATGCCCGTCACCCACCTCGGTTTCGCAGTGCCTGTCGCCACAGGATCCTTCCTATGAGTCCGGTCCAGGCGGCCTTCACCTCCGCCGAGCTTGCCTGCAGAATGTAGGTGTCCTGCGACCTCCGGCGCCGGCGGAACCAGATCTCGAACCGCAGACCGCTGTCGCCCACATTCTCGGTCATCCCGATCTCCGCTGTCTGGTCACAGCAGACACCAGTGTCCACAGGGCCCAGTGCCTTCTTTGTGGCAGCCTGCCTGCCTGTCTGCACTGCCACCACCCTCCCCCCAACCCTGTGTGGCCTCAGTGCAGCCAGGAGCAGGATAGCTGCCCCTGGCCTCAGTTTTGCCGTTTGGTAAGGGAGGAGCCAGTCCAGAAAGACCTAGGCCTCAGGCACTCCCTCGCCCATACCCTGCTTTGGCCCGTGAAGACCCGTACGGTTTCGAGGTCCCTCGAGAACGCCCCAGACAGGCCCATGTACAGGATGGTCCTCGGTTGGAGGGGGCTGGCTGTGAGGAGACCCCTGGGAGCCTGCCAGGTCTGGCCACAGTCGCCTGTGCGCCCCACACTTGAGATGGCTGAGGGCACACCTGCTCCCACAGTGGCCCAGTTCCACCCTGGACTCTGCGGCTCTGGGGCGAATGTGGGCCGGCGCAGCGGCGGCGGCGGCACTACCTTGAAGGACTGCTTGTACACATAGATGTCGTAGCCACCGTCCGCCTTCTTGGTCTTGCTGAACAAGATGAGGTCCTCAAAGAGGAACACCTGCCGCAGGTACTTCCTCCGCCCGCAGCAGACCACAAACTCGTCCTGGCACCTCAGGGGCCCCTGCTCCTTCAGGTTCACCTGTGGGGAGGTGGCATGGTCGGCGACATTGGCCATGTCGGAGACAGCCGGCAAGGCCACACTTCCATCGTCTCTGCAGAAACCCCCCAACGAGCCTTCCTGGTGGCGCTGCAATGGCCCTGGGGTTGTATTGCTGCTTTGCTAAAAACAAGTCCACTCAGCAGCTCAGGCTGACAGCCCCACCCCCACCCCCAGCCAGACTGGACCCCACTGCCCAGCATCCAGCCCAGGCTACCTGGGAGGAGGTAGCTCCAAGCCCTACTGCCCACCAAGGGCAGCATAAAAGCTGGCTTTCATAGCCACGTGTGGGGCCGGGAAGCAGCCACTGCTGGGGCCCTTCCACCTGCTCCTGACAGGCAGCTTTAGCAGGTCCGCAAGTCACCATGGCCCCTGCATCTGTGGAGGCTGCAGCGCACGCCCCACTTTAAAGTCCTCGGAGACATTGTAACAGCCCCTACTGAAAACCATGTCATCCCAGCAGCCTCCCCGCGCCCGGCCTGGCTGAGCGTGGGCCTCGTCTCACCCAGCTGCTGGCAGCTGGCTAACCTGTCCCACACAGGCACTGCCCCTCCCCACAGGCCGATGAGCGGTGGCCACCCTCAGGGGCCACAGGAAAGCCCGGCCAGCACGGCTGCATGGCCCAGCGTGTTTTGAGCCCCGAGCTACCGCCTTGAGATTCTCAGCATGGCTCTACGGAGGGCCCACGGTGCCCCTCTGTCCAGCCCGTCCCACAGCTGGCCTGGCCATGGGAGGTGCAGCGCCCCCGCCAGGGCAGGGGCCCTGCGCACGCGTGTGCGCACTCACATCGCAGCCGCGCACGGCGTCCATGGCCAGCAGGTCGTTGCCGTGGCGCAGCTGGAAGCGGACCATGCTCTCCGCGGCCCGCAGCTGGCGGAGCTCCTGCTCCCGCGCGGGGCTGCGCCCGGCCTCCTTGACCAGGTCTCCGAGCAGCAGCGCGTACTTGCTCATGCGCTGCACCGGCTTCAGCAGGTAGGACGCCAGGTCCATCTTGTCTCCCAGCGCCTGCTGTTTGGCCTGCGGGGTGGGGTCCAGGCAAGCGGGTGGGCTGGAGCCTGCTGGGGGCGGGTTGGGGCGGGGCAGGGTGCAGTGGGGCGGAGCCGACCTTGAAGAAGGCGTTGCCATGGCTGCTGAGCAGAGCATCAGAGAGGGGCTTGTTCTTGCTGTAGAGCGCATACATGCCGAACTGCTCCTCCTGGAGAAGGGGGATTGCACTGGGGTCTGCAGGCCGCGCCACCCAGCGCAGATGGACACATGCACACATGGGTACACGGGGACTCACAAACACGGGAACACATGAGTATACATGGACTTGCAAACACAAGTACACACGGATTTGCAAACAGGCAAATACAGGTGCACACGGACTTGCAAACATGGGTACACACGGACTCGCAAACACAGATACACACAGACTTGCAAACACAGGCACACATTAGACTGGACACGTATGCCGACATAGATGTGTGTGGACACACACAATACGTATACAGAGTCTGACACAATGTAAACACACAGACTTAAACACACATGGAGGTAAAGACGCACACTCGAACAGACACACAGGGAAATGCAAAGGCAGGCACACATGACACAATGGACATACACCGGACACAGAAACATACATGGACAGAGACAGATCCATATACACAGACACACACAGCTATACCCATAAATTCTTGGAGACACAGACACACACTGACAGATACATGGACTCAGACAGACATTCGAGCCCTGACATTACCGTAGAGACACGCAGGTCTAAATAGGGACACACCTAGACACAGACACACAGATACATGGCACACACCCCGCCTCCATGACCGTGAGAGAGTCTGAGCTGGGCACAGACCCCGGTGTCCCTCACCAAACTGGCAGTATGTTTTAAGACTAACAGACATGTTCTGGGGAGAAGGAAAACCCCCGAATGTGGGTGCTATAGATAAACCAGGGCTTTTCATAGCAGCACCTCAAGTTCTGTGACAAGTGAGTGGGGTTTGATCACAATGGCAGTGGACTTAGCTGTGAACTTGAGACCGCAGTCCCTGGACATGGTGCACTCTTCTGCCTGTTTGGTTTTCCTTCTGGCCCTGCTGCAGTGAAGGTTTGCACTGTGAAGGGCTTACTCCGGGTGCTGGGAACAAGGCCTTGTGGCTGAAACACCATTTCAGGGCCTGCTAGGGGCTTTCGGACCTTCTCAGTCTCTGTTTTTATTCCAACATCCAAACAACTCTGAGATGTGAAGTCTTAACATTTTGTTTTTAAATGCGAAAAATATAACTCTTCTGCCATTTGGATAATTGGATGAAGTGCTACAAGTGTGAAAACATTATCCCCCAGAGAGAAAAGGCTGTTCAACGGATCCGGAAGAACCTGCAAAAAACGGAAGTTACTCGCCCATGAAAGTGCTGAAATGACCAGCTCTGAATGCGCGGTCGCTCACACGGGTAGACACTAGATGATTTCAACTCAAGCCAGGTGTGCCTCAGGGCTGTGCTCTCTCACCATCCTTCGGCCATGCGTGTGCTGAGCACACGCGAGAGAAGCTAGACTTCCGTGAGAAGCACTGGGCACCAGGATGGGAGGAGGAATCGCGAGCAGCGTGTGGTGTGTGGACGCGTACAACCTTGCTTGGCGAAGGTGAAGAGCACTTGGAGAAGGTAGGGATGAGGACCAGAGTCTACAGCCATCGGTGTGGATGACACCTCCAGAGAGAGAGAAACGGGGACCCTCGTAGCACCGTGATGAGGAGAGAAAGCTGGAAGTTGTCCAGCGCTTCCTTTTACATGGACCCACAACCGACACCCAAGGAAGCAGCAGAGAAGCCGAAGGATGCACTGCACTGGGTGAATCTGCGCGCGCGCACACACACCCTCTTGAAAGGGCTAACAAGCAAAGATGGCACTTTGCATATTGCAAGGCATTTCCTGCCGACTCATCTGCATGTGGAAGCCGGTGATAAGTAAGGAATTGGGGAAGGGCTGTGCCTCTGAACAATGGTGTTGACTTGAAGCGCATCGGCTGCTCTGGGGCTTCCAGGAGAAAGGGGTCCTGAGAGCTCGGCTGCAAACAATATAGTCGGTGGTTCAAACCCACCAGCCTGCTTGCTCCTCAGGCACACAGACAGGGCTGTCTGTGCTCATCTCAGTGTGGTCTCAGAAGGCCCCACAGGGGGCTGCTCGGCGTCGGAGTCGACTTGGGACAGTGGGCGGGGTCCTTCTGTGTTCCAGAAGAATCATCTGCCTTGGAAGGACAGCCAGAAGGCCCCCTAGAAGGGAGAGGTGGAGACTGCATCGAATGCACTTGGACGTGAGGTCCGCAGGGACCAGTCCCCGGTCAAGTGGAGGGGCAGCGGGAAAGGAGATCTTCAGAAAGAGGTGGATGCTGTGAGGACGGGGAGGGCGGCGCGGGGCTGGACAGGCTCCTTCGGTTGCACCTGTGGTCTCCAGGAGCCGGGACGGACTCAGTAGCGTCTGACAACACCACACTTCACGGCTGAATAGATTTTTAAGGGCAGTCCAGTGAACGGCCTTTGTCCTTTTGTTTGTTATCCTGGCCACTGAAGGCCCCACTGCCTGGGACCCTACCCCTCGCATATGTGTTGAATTTCCAGTATGTTCAACATGTCATTAAAGGCAAATGCGAAAAACCATCCTGCTCATGATGGAGAGGAGAGTCACAGAGAACGGATCTCCTCACCCCAGTTCAGGTCCACAAAGGCTGTCCCCAGCACTCGGTGAACTGGCCTGCATGCCCCTGGGGGGCAATGGACACAGGGAGAGGGTCTCAAGGGGGACCGAGTGTGGGAACTCCTGGCAGTGGGCCTGGGCTGGAACAGGCAGCACCACCGCTTGGCCCCTGGGGCTGTGGGGAGATTAGACCGGCCAGTGGGGAAGCTCCCCACATCATGTCTAGCAGGCCTGGTCTGTCCACAGTCAGGAGCTGTTACACCCCCCCCCCCACACACACACACACACACATCCTCTATGCAGGCATGTGCAATGACTGGTCACCTGTGAAGAATACATGTCCTACACATGTACTGGAGCATCCCAATCCTCCAGCCGGTAGGATGGCGCTGGCCCACGCCGGGGACAGGGCCCGGTGCAGGGACTCACATGTTTCAGGAAGCCACGGCCCACGGCCAGCGGGCAGTGCCGGCAGCGCTCCAGCTCCCTGAGGAAGTGCTGGCCGTGGAAGCCGTGCAGCTTCTCCAGGTTCCCAAAGATGGTCCCGCGCTTCCCCCTCAGGTCCTGGGGCAGGTCTGTCCTCTCCATTTCTGGAAAATAGTTGTCGATGACATAGCCTAAGGACTTGACATACTCTCTCTCCGTGGACACCATCTCGGCCACTATGTGGTGCAGGCGGCTGGAAGACAGAGAGAGCAGGCTGGACACTATGGCTACGTGGTGGGGCTGCCCCACGCGGACATGGAGCGGGCAGTCGGGGTGAGGGGTGCCATGGGCAAAAACCAGAGATGCTGCCTTTTCTGGAGTGAGTGTTTCGAGCCCGGTTCACCCTTGGGCTCTTGCAAAACCTGGACCCGCTGCTGTGACTGTGAGGAGCACTGTGGTCGTTACACAATCTGTGGTCAATTTGATAGGATTAAGAGTGAAGGGGTGGAGTCTAGCCTGCCAATCAGGCATAGCCAATGAAGCCTCAGTGTGGGCATGGGCTGAGGATTGGAGTGGGCATTCTCCTGAGGATTCTGGGAGCGCTCTAGCTCAGCTCACTCCCTGAGAGACTCTCTCCTTACAAGACACATGGGGCTCTGCTGATCGCAGTGACAGCAGCCCTGGGCCTGGAGGAGCCGTGTGGAGACCCACTCCAGTGCTGAGATGCTTCCACCATCAATGGGTCCACAAGACTATCCTCCCACTGGCCTGTGGTCTTCCTGCATTAGGCATCATTGCATGTGTCTTGTGAGTCTGAAGAGGTCTTTATACACTGGTGTTGGACAGATGGGCTAATATCAGACGGATGGACTTGATCTGGACTGGGCTGGGATGCTTTCTTAATGTACTTAATGGATAGAAAGCTCTTTCTTATACACATGAATGTGTCTCTGAATCTGTTTCTCTAGTCAACCCAGACTAACACAAGCATGCTTGAGAAACAGGAGTCCACCTCAAGGAGTCAGGAGGGGCTGAGGGGCGGGCTGTGGGGCTGGCTCCAGGTCCCCACCTGCGCCTGCAGCACCTGCCAGTGCCCACAGGGTATCACTAACTGCCTGCACCACGGGAGGGGTGGGGAGGAGTGGGGGGGGACAACAGACGTGACCCTTTACTGAGCAGCTTTCTTTAGCAGCTTGGGAGGGGTCCTCTGAGACATAACCTCTGACCTTTCCCTGTCGGGAGCAAAGAGGTGTGAACACAGCAAAAATTCCAGGGAACATTTGGTCCAACAGACAGACAGGCCCCAGGAACCCGGCCTCCACTACCAGGAGAACCAACTCAAGCCCACCACTGACTTCAAAAGCCCCTGTCAAACAAGGGGGCAGGGGGATGCAGAGCAAAAGCTTAAAATACAGCAGAGACCAGACTCATGGGTCTGATAGGGGCTGCCAGAACCCACGGGACAGTGACCCTAGGACACCCTTCAAGCCTGGGACTGAGCCCACCCCCAGGGTCCTCCTGCAGCCAAACTACAGTGGGGCCCAGGAGGTGACCGCTAAATGCTAGAATGCCCTGCTCAGCAGTTGCCACGGGAGATCAAAGGGCGGCGTTGCTGAGTCCCCAAAAGCCCAGCAGGCGGGAACAGGCAGGAGAGAAAGATCCAAGTCCTGGATCGGTAAAAGAAGAGGCCCGGAGTCAGTGTGTGGGAGCGGACCCCGGTATGTCTGCCTCGAAGGCAAGCCTGTGGTACGCTGAGGACGCTGACCCTGGCCCTCACGGAGGACACGTCCCCCTCACCTTCCCACACGTGGCCTCCCGTCCCCGTTGGGGGCGGGGATCCTGGAGGGAGAGGACAGGCTGCGGTTCCGGGGCGCTGTGGGGGTCTCAGTGGCCACGGAGCCGGTCACCTCCAGCCCCCTGATGTGCACCCCGGTGTGTGCCGGCTGGCGGGGCTCCCTGGGGCCAGCAGGCAGGACGGCCTCCCAGCTCTGCGTTTTCATCATCTTCTTCAGGGACTGCTTCCTGAGACGGGGCCCTGCGGCCCGGGAAGACGCAGGGGTGGAGGGGGAGCTGCTGTCTGGGGGGTCCCCCAGGGCAGGTACTCCTGGGCCCCAGTGCATGTCCTCCTGTGCAGGACTGGCCTCCCGGGGGGATAGCAGTGAGCTGCAGCCGGGGCGGAGTTCAGGAAGGGCCTGCTCCGGGCAGCTGGGTGGCGGAGACCACAGGGCCTGGCTGGGCCTTGGCTCCCTGGCGGCATCTGCCTGTAGGCAGCAGCTCCCCACACACTCCGGGTCTTCCCTGCAGGGCGGCCTCCACCCAGCTGCCTGGAGACAGAGAGGGGGCAGGTCAGTGAGGGATGGGCAGGGTGTAGGTCTGGGATAGCTCAGGTAGGCCCAGGCAGGACAGAGAGACGGACAGCCAGAGGAACAAACACACACACACAGAGCCCTGGACGCTGTGGGGCGCAGCGGGGGGGAAGAGGAAAAGGCCTGATACCCCCACCCACCCCTTCAGCCCTCCCCACCCACCCCTATCATTCTTTGCCCACTCCTCAGGGGCTCATGGGGACAGGGTCCCATGAGCAACAGGGTGGAGTCAGGCGATCCCTAGGGTGGGGCCCCACAAATACCGGGGTGGGAGTGGTCTCATGAGGCTCAGCAAGGAGGCGCAGGGTCTGTGTCTGGCCAGGTGCACCCACCAAGGCCGCTGCCTCCTGCAGGGCTGGGATCCCTTCATGTCCCTCACTCTGGCTCCCAGGGGTGGGTGGCTCCTTGGGGTGGATGGTGAGCTCGGGTTCTCTTTCCAGCCAGTGTGGGACCTACGAGGGCAAGGAGGAGCCAGCAAGATGGGTCATCCTGGGTCAACAGGCACTATGGCGTGTTCTGACTGGGCCAAACGCGAGCCCCTGTCCTCGGCTGGCCCTAGAGCAAGTCAACAGAAAATGAAGGTCTGGGTGGGCTGGGCAGCCACTGGCCGTCGGTCACCATCCCAGATGGGCACAGACAGGAAACTTCACGAGAAGGCCAGAGCCAGGGAGCCGGCAAGCTCAGAGCCCCTGGGAGCAGCAACACAAAACCGGCCAGCAGAGCTGAGTCGGCCCAACTCCCAGGCCGGGTCCACCTCCAGCTTCACGAGAAAAGTACGTTCTAACTGGTGTGGCGATTTGGATTTAAGCTCCGTGACAGAATAAGCTCTCAATCTCCCTTCCATTGACTCAATTCTGACTCACAGCAGGACAGGGCAGAACTGTCCTTGTGGGTTCCAATCCTGAACTGTCAAGGGGAGTAGAAAGCCCAGTCTGTCTCCCATGGAGCAGCTGGTGGTCTTGAACTGCTAACCTTGCGGTTAGCAGCCCAAAACGTCACTCACTGTACCACCAGATTCTCTCAGTGACTCATAGCGACCCCCGAGGGTTTCCAAGGATGTCACTGTCTACGTAAGCACCAAGCCCAGTCTTTCTCCCTCAGAGCAACTGGTGGGTTTGAACTGCCGACCACGTGCATCATAGCTCAGGGCATGACCACCTCGCCACTGGGGCTCCGTGTGCCACCAGACTAGTCAGCCTATGAAAGGAAATCAAGCCCACTTCCATTCCCAGGAGCTGCCAGCGTGAGCGGTGCCCACTGCGCTCCCTCTGGGCCTGGGGACACTGACCTGGGCTGGCCCCTGCTCGCTGGGCCGCAGCCCCTGCAGGCCCTCCAGCCACTGCAGGCACTGGTTGGAGGCTCGGACCAGCCTGTGTACCTCCTCGTCCACCCGGTCGTACAGCCTGGTGGCCGCCCGGAGGGCATCCCTGGAAGAGAGAGCAGAGTGGTAAGTCCCATCTCCACACAGAGACAGCTTTTCAAAGGGGGCCGGGAACGCCGAGAGGGCGCCTGCAGCGATGGGGCCCAGGGGACGGGATGGGGACACCACAGTGTACTAGGATCCATGCAGTCACGTGTGTTTGCATCATCAATGAAAACCACATACAACGGGACCTTCTCCTCGCAGCACACGAACGAGGGTCAGCTCTGGGTCCTGGCAAATGGGAGGGCGCTGCCAGGGGAAGAGCCGACTCTGGCAGAGTGGTCCGGGGGGGACCTGCTCCCCATGCCCAGGGCAGACTGCGAGCTCCCAGGGGCGGCCACCGCCCTCCCATGGGCTCTGGGAGCCCTGCAGCGGGGGCAACTCACCGGCCGTCCTCACTGGCACCCAGCGCATCCCTCCTCAGCCTCGCCAGGACGGCACCGCCCTCCAGCCTTAGGGTGACCAGCAGGGGCTCTTCCAGGACTTGCTGCATCACGGCCCTGTGCCTGTGGATGAGCTCGGTCGCTTCCTGCCGGGCGAGAAACATGCATGCAGTCTGCTCCAAGGGGTCCGTCTGCCTTACCGCTGCAGCCCTGCACCAAGGGACCCCCATGTTAGCGCCACCCCTACTCCAAGGAGGCTCTCCCTCTGTGTTAGCAGCAGGCCCGCCCTCAGGGAACCCCCACCACCTATTGCTGCCCACCCAGTGGGTTCCAACACATGACAACCCCGTGTACAGCAGGGTGTCACTCTGCCCAGTCCTGCCCCTTCTCAAAATGGTTACGTTCGAGCCCACAGCGGCAGCCACTCTGTTGATCCGTGTCTCCAGAGGGTCTTCCTCGTCAGCTCCTTGGAAGTGAGGGTGGCAGGACTTCACCTCATCTATTTCCACCCCAGTGTCCGGAGACACCAGTCTGTAGAGAAGGACGTGCTTGGTGAAGTAGATGGGCCCCCTCCAGCAGACAGACTGACATGGTGGCTGTGGCACTGGGTCCAAAAAGAAGAACCATGGCGCCTGCAGAGCAAGACCTGGTGGAGTTCCCTCCTGTCCTCCATGGGGGTCACTGGGAGCCGGAACCAGCTGGACCGCACCGAACAACAGCAAAGAGATCTTTTGCGGCAGAGGTGCTCAACACAATATGTAGCTTGATTTCTTGACTGCTGCTTGAGGAGCCCCGGTGGTGTAGTGGTCAGGAGTTGAGCTTCAATCCGCATGGTCCGCAGTTCAAAACCACTAGCAGCTCCTCGAGGAAAAACTGGGCTTTCCACTCCCGTCAATAGTTGCAGTCTTGGAAACTCACAGGGGAGTCACTGGGTCAGCATCGACTCAATGGCAGTGAGGTGATGTTGTTTTTGTTAACTTCCATGATCACTGACTGTGGATCTCAGCAACATAAAACCCTTCCAACACCAATCAATTCTCCATTTATCATGTTGTGACTGATTGGCCCAGCTGTGAGGATTTCTGCGTTCTTTCCGTTGAAGAGTAATCCAAACTGAAGGCTGCAAGTTTTACTTCCACCGATGTTGTCTTTGTTCCTTAAGCGCTCTAAGTCCTCTTGGGTTTGGGTCAGCAAGGCTTCCTACAGGGTGTTAACAGGTCTTCCTCCAACCCTCATGCCAAGTTCTTCTCCATGCAAACCCGGCTCCTTGGATTACTTGCTCAGCATGCAGACTGAATACAGACATGAGAAGATACAACCCCGACACACAGCTTTCCTGAGTGGAAACTAGGTAGAATCCCCTTCTTCTATTGCAGTGGTTCTCAACCTGTGGGTCACAACCCCTGTGGAGGTTGCCCGGTCCTTTCACAGGGGTCGCCTGATTCATAACAGTAGCAAACCCGCAGTGATGAAGTAGCAACGGAAATCGTGTATGGTTGGGAGTCACCACATGAGGGGAACTGTGTGCAAGGGTCTTGGCGTGAGGGAGGTGGAGAACCCCTGTGTTACTGGAAGAACCGCCTCTTGCTCCACATCCAGGTTCCACAGGGACACATCCACTTGTTCTGGAGTCACCAGAGCTTATTGGGATCCACACCGTCACGTTTTTGTGTGAGCATAAAACCTACCTAAACATCATTCTAGTATTTGCTTTCGACCAAGATCCATCCAGCAGCAGCAATGAAACCCTCATTCCTTGTCTTCTTCGGAACCCAGCTTGAACTTCTGGGAGTTCCTGACAATGTACTTCTGCCACCGTTTCAAAATTATCTTTAGAAAAACGTTACTTGCATCGGGTCTTAATGGTATTGCCCGATAATGTCCACATGTGTTGGGTCACCTCTCTTTGGAATGGGCACAAGCATGGCGCTCTTCCAGTTGGCTAGCGAGGTAGCTGTCTTCGAAATGGCTTGGTACAGATGGTGGGAGTGCTTCCAGGTGTGCATCCACTTGTGTAAACATCTGGCGGTGGTCCCTCAATCCCTGGGGCATGCCTTCATGGAAGGCAGCGTGGGCTTCTTCCTTCGATACCGATGGTTCTTCATCCTCTGTTACCTCCTGGAATGGCTGCACGTGGGCCGTGACTACGCATACCTTCCTCCTTCTCTTGATGGTTCCTGCATTACCCGACAATTTGCCCACGGAATCCGTCAACACGGCCGCTCGCAATGCTGAGCACCTTTTGCTTTTCGAACTCCAGGTCTGCACACACTTCAAACACTTTGCCTTCTCACTCCCGCCCTCTGAAGTCTCCTGCCCGTCTGTTCTCCCGACCTCCGGGGGTCGCCGTGAGTTAGTACCGACTCGATGGCAGTGAGTAGCAGGAGCTTCAAGATCAAGTTTCCATCTTCTCCGTTGGTGATGTTTTCTTTCTTTCCTTCCTGTCTTCGTCATGACTTCCAGCTTTCTTCAGTACGATGCCCTCCCATCACCTGTCTGATCTGCGGTTATTAAGGTCCCAACACATCAGATCCATTCTTGAGATGGTTTAGATGCAGGTGGGACAGACACACGGCCTTACTCAGGCATTTATGGACTTGTTTCTATTTTCTTCAGCTTCAACCTGCCCTTGTGTATGAGCAATTGATGATCTGTTGCAAAGTCGGCCCCTGGCTTTGTTCTGAGCGATGATGCTGAGCTTCTCCATTGCCTCTTTGCACAGATGTGGTTAATGGCATCCCTGTCTATTCCATCCAGCGGCGGTCATGGATAGAGCCATCCTTTATGTGGTTGAAAAAAGGGATTCCCAATGAATAAGCCATTTGATTTCACAAGATTCTATCTTGTCGTAGCATGCATGGTTTCCATCAGCAAGGCCATATTTGAGAATGTGTTTTCCTTTCTTGTTTCTAACTTTTGCGTTCCAATCACCAGCATCTATCAGTGGATCTTGGTTACATGGCTGTTACACATCAGGCCACAAAAATTAGTAAAAAATCTTTAACTTCATCTTTTACACTAGCAGTTGGTGCCTACATCCAAATAATCATCATGTTAATTGTCTCCCCTGTAGGCATGTGACCCTCACCAGCAGCACTGTACTTGAGGGCAGATTCTGAAATGTTTCCTTTGAACAAATGAGTAAGATGCTGGTCCTCTTCGATTTGTCTTGCCTGCCATAGTAAACCGCAAGACTGTCCGATTCAAAATGGCAAGTCCAGCCCATTTCAGCCCACTCATGCCTAGGGACCTGAGGCTACGGCATCAGATAATGTGCACTGCTCCTCACAAAGTTTACAAAAAGGCCTTTAAAAAACATGTTTTTAGAAAATAGGTGGCCAGGTCTTTCTTCCTCACCTGCCTAGCTCTTGACGTGGTGCTAAAACCTCCCACCCTCTTTCAACGTCAAATTCTGTGCCCACACCACTGGATATTAGGATGTGTATACTCATGATAAGTGATGGCTACAAAAGTAAGCTAACAATAGGATTACATTTTCAAAAACTTTAAGACACCATAAAGAAATAGAACCTGTCCACCACCGGTGACCCGACTTATAGTCCAACTCTCAGTGGCTTAGCTTCCTGCATCACAGCAACACAGGAGCCACCGCTGTGAGACACACTGACAGGTGTCGACTGGCAGCAGGCATGCCAGTGGCCCACATTCCTGGTTTTCAAATGAAAAAGGAAGCACCACTGTGTGACCTCGCCCAGACGTGGGCACCCAGTCAGAGCAGGGAGCGGAGCCCCACACACTGACAGGAGGTGGGGCGTCTGAGGAGCATGCCAGTGGCATCAGACCCGCCGTCAGACTGGGCGCACACAGGTCCTGCCCCTGGACCTTGGCCCCACACCCACGGGAAGCCTCCGGGGTCCGTGGTCCTTGTCACCAGCCCACCCGCCGTCTTGCCTGGGTCACGCACTCTCAACAGCAGTCACTGTGCCACGAGGACCTGCCACCAAATCCCGAGGGGCATTTCCTCCTCAGCAGGGCAGGGTGTTCCGGAGGACAGCCAGGAAGGCCCGATCGCTTGCTAATTAAAAGGAGGTCTGGTGGGTTACACCTTGCTTGAGCTGCTAACCCCAAGTCAGTGGTTCAAAACCACCTGCTGCTCTGCGAGAGAAAGATGAGGCTCTCTGCTCCCATAGAGGGTTGCAGTCTCGGGAAACCCACAGGTGTAGCTCTACCCTGTCCGCTAGGACCGCCATGAGTCACAATCGGCTCCTGACAGTACGTTGGTTTTAGAGCATCCAAGAGTTTCAAAGTTTCTACCACAGATGACGAGGAGACTAGACATTTGTTTTCGTCTTGGCTGAGCCTGTGCCCCCACGTATCTGTCAAGAGGCGTGTGAGGACCTACCTGTGCTGTACCTGGGGCTCTGCGGGTGCTGAGGGCGCAGAGCGCATCTTGTAGGAAAGCAAAGGCTTGCTTGCAGCTTGCCATGAAGGGCTCTAGCTTCTGTCAAGGCACAAGGGGCGGGGAGACAGCGGTAGGAAAGCTGTGTTAGACGCCGGGAGAAACAGCTCCGCGTCCCGGGAGTGCGATTCATCGCTCAGCAGCAAAAGACGGCAACGCGTGACGCGTGCTCTTCAGGGGATCCGGTGGAACCATGGAGGAGAGCGGCCCACCTCTCCCAGCCCAGGGGTGGGCTCATTCTCAGACAAGTGGGCGCTTCCCCTGCCTTCCACATCTGGGCTATGAGGGGTGGCTAGGGTGGTGTGGCCCATGGGGTAAGGCACTTTCCTGATGTGAAGAAAAGTGCCCAGACCAGTGCGTGGCCCCTTACCCTTCGGAAGCACACCCAGTCGCGGTGGCTGTAGGGAAAGGTGCCGTCCAGCTCTGCGGTCAGCTGCGAGCTGTCAATGAGCTTGTGCAGGGCCTTCAGGGAGCTCACCACATCGCACTGCCAAGAAATGACGTCCCGGGGTTGGGGCCACAGACCGCTCTCCTGGGGGACCGGCCCTTGCGAAGGGTTTGCTTCTGGGAGGATGGCTCCTGGCGGGATGAGGCCTGCCCTCTGGTCTGCCTGGGTGGTTATCACTGGGCAGCATGTGGCTGCTTCCAGCTAGAAGGTGAGAGCGAGTGAGAGAAGGGGCCACAGGGAACCGAAGCAAAGCCCGCCATGAACACAGACACAAACCAGTGGAAAGGAGAGAGGGCGGCCGGACGAGCGGAGAGGAACGGGGCAGAAAGGTAGAGGAGGATGAAAGGGTCCCCCCTCTTTCAGCATGGCAGAGTTGACCTTTCTCAGATAAAAACCACAAACTCCAAGTGCAAGACCATGATCCAGACGCTCAGGAGGGTGACCGGAAGCTATGTGGTAGGAGCAGTTAGCATGGCGCAGGGTCCCCATTGTTGTGGTAGTCTGTGTGTATGATGAGACGTGTAGGGCGGAAACTCTGATAGCAACTGGGTATCTCCCTGTCTGAAAAGCCGGAGAACAGACCTGGGGGTGGTTGAGTGGGGGTTGTGCCACAGCCATGGGAAAGGGAAAGCAGGTTCCCAAGGAAGAAACCGGGGAAGGTGGTCCCGGGAGAGTGTGTCAACCCGGCGGGAGTCTCTGTACACATGGGGCAGACCGAAAGCAGGGTGCGGCTGAAGGCTCAAAGAACCGAACCAGCCCACTGAAGGTGGTTACGAGTTTCCACTTTGAGTCGAGCCAGGCGAGGCCCATGCTGAAATAACCCTCCAGAGGTTTACAACAGAGTCTAGTTTCCACAGCGGCGCATTCACTACGTCCTGGTTGTCATCTGACACACGAATGTGTGTCGGGACCGATTCTCAACGGGAAAAATAATCCAGAGGACAATCCCGAGATGATGCAGATGCCAGCCTTCTCAGAGAAGGACTTTAAAGCAGCTGTTGTGACTGTGTTCAGTGAGGCAAAGGAACGTGTGCTGCAATGGATGGAGGAAAATCTCTGCAGAAATTTAAAAAAAATTTTTTTTGCTCACTGGAAACTTCATGTGGTTACATAATCTGATGTCAACTTGCGACTATTAAGAGTGGAGGGGTGGAGTTTAGCTTGTCAATCAGGTCACAGCTTGATGACCTCATTTGGAGCTGCCATGGAGATAAGTAGCTCGCTGGCGGTGGGGTTCCCACTCAATGCCTGGGAGACATTCCTGCTGACAAGCCACATGGAGCTATGCTAGAGTCTTGGGAGCCGGAGGAACCACAGAGAGACCTGTGCCAGTGCTGAGATGCTTCCACCGCCACTGGATCCACAAGACTTTCCACTCACTGGCCTGTGATCTTCCTGTATTCGGCATCATTGCATGGGTTGTGTGAGTCTGAAGAGGAATTTACAGACTGGTATCAGATATATGAGTTAATATCGGACTTAGGGACTTCATTTGGACTGGGCTGGGATGTTTTCTTAATGTGCAATTACTCTTTGATATAAGACTCTTTCTTACAAACATGAGTTTCCCTGGATTTGTTTCTCTAGTTAACCTGGACTAACACACTTCATAACGGAGTAAGTCCAATATCTGGACTAGAACCAGTCATTAGATAAAAATATCATTTGAAGACGTCAGAGTAACGAGATAGTGGCTCTGACGACAGCTCAATAGCTCGCTGTATCTGAAGACGAGGGAGAAGACTCTTCTCAGCTGCCCGTGGGGCAGTATCAATCAGCATAACTGAAGTCCTGAGCTAACACGGCCAGGAAAGAAACGCTTCCCAAGAGATGACGGGTGAGAGCTTCTCCAGTTTGGTGGCAGAGTTCACGGATTCTAAATATCCAGCAGGGCGGAAGCAGGGCATATATAAAGAAAATGAGGTCAAGGCACACCCTGGCCAAGTTGTTGCCTCTAAAGAGCATGAAACGAATCCATCATGCACCAGAGGAGGCCATGTGCACGCGGAGCAGTAAAGGTCTGATTAGCGTGGGCTCCGCATCCGAAACGATGAGGGCCAGAAGACACGAGAGCAACCTATTAAAACAGCGGAAGGAAAAACAACAAACAAAAACCGACACTAGATACCGATGGTCCCCGAGAATCTATACCTACAGTGGCCCCTTTCCTGTCTGTCTTTTCCTCACACCTTACTGTCAATAGTCTGTACTGCATACAGTGGTGCAACATTTGATTTGCTGAGGCTGCCGTCTTCCAGTGTTCACGCACAGATGTTCGATTTTATGATCTTAGGTTCAAGACGCGCCAGTGTTCTGAAATGAAGCCTGAAGCGGGAGAAGTACTCAGAGCACCTCAGCACCGACGTATCGCAAGTTACGACCAACTCACATCCTAGCTCAGGCACTGCCTGCAGAGAAAACACCCTGCCAGAACGCAGGCACAATGGAGACGGTTCCAGATAACAGGAAAGCAGCAAGAGGAGGAGAGACAAACAGCCTGGTGGGGAAGAAAGTCCAGGTTTTCCATTACTTTGTCAGACTCCCGCAGACCGTAGGGGGTGAGAGCTGGGTTTCCAGGCTCCCCCAGGGCCGCAGGCACCAATGCGACCTGTGAGGGAATGCGCCCTCACCCACGGTAGCAGATACACCTTTCACCCAGATGTGCGCCCTCACCCACAGTATCAGATACACCTTTCACCCAGATGTGCACCCTCACCCACAGTATCGGATACACCTTTCACCCAGATGTGCACCCTCACCTACGGTAGCGGATACACCTTTCACCCAGATGTGCACCCTCACCTACGGTAGCGGATACACCTTTCACCCAGATGTGCGCCCTCACCCACGGTAGCGGATACACCTTTCACCCAGATGTGCGCCCTCACCCACGGTAGCGGATACACCTTTCACCCAGATGTGCGCCCTCACCCACGGTATCGGATACACCTTTCACCCAGATGTGCGCCCTCACCCACGGTAGCGGATACAC